AAAAAAGACAAGCAACAGATGCCAAAACCAGGAAGAAATTGATAGAATACCTTGACGAGGATTCTAAAGGGGCCATCATAAAGATACCTGACAATTATGAACATGCTGGAAACAAACAGAAACAGGAAGTCACAGGAAAGAAACAGAAGACACAAAAGTAGTACCACACGAGACTTTAAGCACTGAGAAATACAGTAACAGTAAAAAAAAAAAAGTCTGGACAAGATAAACTGCATGCAGCATAGCTTGACAGATAAAAGAATCAGTGAAATTAAAGATCAAAGGATAGAAATTACCCAAACTGAAAAACAGAGAAAAAATTAAAAAAAAAGAGTCTGAGTTTCTGAGTGATTAAAATGAAAGATCTAACACTTATATCATTGGCATTCCAGGAGATGAAAAGAATATGGGACTGAAAAAGTGTTCAAAGAAATAATGGCTGGCAATTTCCCAAATTAGGCCAAAATACATAAGCCCTTAGATTAAAAAAAAATGAATAGACCCACACATAAAGATATACTAAATAGACAATGGAAAAACCTTGACAGCACCAAGAGAGACAGGAAACCTTATTTATATAAGAAAAATAATTCAAATGACTGGATGTTTCATCAGAAACCATGGAGGCAGAAGGAAGGTATATAATGTTTTTCCAATGCTGCAAGAAAAGAACTGTCCATTCAAAATGCTTTATCCAGTAAAACTATCCTCCAGGAATGAAGAGGAAATCAAGCTATCCTCAGAGGAAAGGAAACTACAGAGAATTTGCTGCCAGCAGGTCTGCCTTAAAAAAATGCCTCAAAGAAGTGGCTGGATTAGAAAGGAACTGATGAAGACAGGAATCCTGGAGTATCAGGAAGGAGAGTTGAAAAACAGAAAAGTAAATACAGGGAAATAAAATAGACTTGCCCTCTTTTCTTGAGCTTGCTAAAATATGTATGATGCTTGAAATAAAATAGTACAACCTTGATGTGTTCTCAAAGAATGTATGACGTTAAGATGACTGTGTTATCTTAATATAATTTATATAAATCAGGTGAAGAGACACAAAGGTAGGTAAAGTTTCTATATCCAACTCAAACTGGTAAAATGTTAACAACAGTAAAAAGTGATGAATTATGTTTATATAATGTAATACCTAAAGTGACCAATGAAGAATCTATATATTTTTAAAATTTTTTGTTGAAGTACAGTTACAATGTGTCAATTTGTATTGCACAGCACAATGTCCTTGTCATGCACATACATACATACGTCAGTTTTCATATTTTTTTTCATTAACGGTTATTACAATATATTGAACATAGTTCCCTGTGCTACACAGAAGAAACTTTTTTTAATCTATTTTTATACATAGTGGCTAACATTTCCAAATCTCAAGCTCCCAAATTTATCCCTTCCCACTCCCTTTTCCCTGTAACCATAAGATTGTTCACTATGTCTGCGAGTCTGTTTCTGTTTTGTAGATGAGTTTATAGTGTCTTTTTTTTTTAAGATTAGCCATATGAGTGGTATCATATGGTATTTTTCTTTCTCTTTCTGGCTTACTTCACTTAGAATGACAATCTCTAGGTCCATCCATGTTGCTGCAAATGGCATTATTTTATTCTTTTTATGGCTGAGTAGTATTCCATTATATAAATATACCATAACTCTAATGAAGAATCTATATAATGAGATACATTCAAACATATAATCACAAAGCGATTCTGAAATAATATTCAGGTAACCCACAGGAAGGCAGGAAAAGAACCAGAAATGAACAACAGAGAGAACAAACAACACAAAAAATAAAATAGGAAGCTTAAGTCGCTTTATAACACATCATGGTTAAGAAGGCAAAAGTCTCCCAAAATGATCTACAGCTTCAATCCAATTTCTATCAAAATCCCAGCTGGCCATTGTGCAGAAATTGGCTAGTTGATACTAAAATTCATACGAAAATGCAAGGAACCCAGAAGAGCCAAAACAATCTTGAGAAAGAACAAAGTCTGTGGATTTCTACTACTTGATTGCAAAATGTACTACAAAGCTATAGAAATAAAGATGGTGTGGTCC